AGGAAGGAAGGAAGGAAGGAAGGAAGGAAGGAAGGAAGGAAGGAAGGAAGGAAGATAAAGAGGCCTCGGTCTAAAAAGCTGCATATAGAAAATCATGACACTTTTAAAAAATGTCTCAAATATGATTAATCATAATCTCTAGATATACCTTACCTGTCAATTCCACAAGCCAATTCTAAAGGCATGTTAACTATCTGACTAACTAAAAATAGTCTGTTTAATAAGTAAACTATTGTGTTTGACTCTTGCGAAGAATCACAATTACTTTCTAGTCCTCTTGCTGTCCCAGCTTGGTTTGGAAGAACAGCTGTGTATTTACTTGACAAATCCAAAACTTTTCTAGAAAATAAATTTACTCTTGTATAGTCTTTCTTCATATCAGCATTGCACAAATCCCAACCTGGCAGCATCAATGAGAAGTGATCTTCGTTTGAAGCAAGTCCTAAAGAAACTGGACTCTGAAGCTTTAAAATGTTGAGATGCTTAATGCAGAGATTATCTAATTCTTTATCCACACCCCAAGGCAATAAGCAAGACAGGAGCAATTTAGCTGTGTCAATCATAACTTTGGAATCAACTTTTCTTGATGGCTTTGGGGGCATCTTTTTGGAGCTCTTCATTTTCTTATGCCTCTTAATGCCATCATTTTCTTCTGAGAATTGGAAGGAATTATCTTCTTGGACTGGATTTTCACGAATGGTTCTGACTTGTGGCTCCTCTGAGAGAAGACCAGAGGCTGTTTTACTCCGTTTCAGTGTCAATGTTGTCTTCTCAACTGTACTCTTGGCTCTTTTGAGGATCTCACTACCATAGAATGAACTGGAAGAGTCCACACCACTGACTGGAGTAGGCAGCAAAAGTTCAACAAGGTTTTCCAGATCAAATAGAAGAATATGAAAGCTAATGTTACTCCATTTTATCTTCACAGGTAAGACACCAAAAGGTCCTGAGAAAGACCTAACATCAGCAACCTGAAAGGGAGTAAAAAAATATGAGAGTAAAAAATACACATATGTCAAAATCCCTCTTTTTAAAGTTAATATCTACAATATTGAAACAAGATGTGACAGTACAATTCAAAGTTAATTAATTGAAATTTTTAGTCCTATCTTAGAAATTCTTCTGAATTAAGCATTCTATAGTCTAACATTCTTTGAAAATTTTTTTCTTTCCTAAATTTTTATTGCTCTCCTAAGCTATACAAGTTAGGCTTCTGAAGCTAGATGGCATCAGATTAAAATCCTTTTTTATCAGTTCTCACATATTCCTACTAATAAAACTCTTAAGACATAGAATAAGGAAAAATTATGTTTGATATTGATATTAAGGGGAAGGATAGAACACCTATACAAAATTAGGAAGTATTTTAAGAGGATGGTCTCGCCAAATTTGAATTCAGTAATTTATACATACATACACAGAGCGATGAGTAGACTTGTATTGTTCTCCACATGAGACTATTTTGCCCTGAATATTGGCAGATAGTCTCTTTATCTTCAATTACGTTCTTTAATTTCTGGGGCCTTTCTTTGGTACCCTATCTCTTTACCTCAACTTATTATTTTCCTATTGACATTTTTTCCCCATTCTGTTTACATGGCTACATTAAGTGAAACCTTTGCCTGTTTCTTGTATGTTTTATCTGCTAGCATTCAGTCTCTATAAGAGTTTTGTGCATTACTCTGTTCCTAATGCCTACAAAACGGTGCTGAAAACCAAGCCAGCCAGGTTGTTTCCAACTCACACCAACCATGTGTTGGTTGCTGAGTAAATGGTAGTCCTAGCGTGTGAGTGTTGAGAAGCAGATTGCCAACATATGGTTTTGAAATGAAGTTTTGTGATGTTCCAGGTGTGTCAGTTAGAATTAGGAGACAATTTTAGAATCTTAGACACCCTATAGGGCAGTTCCACTCTGTCCGGTAGGGTTGCTATGAGTTGAAGTCATTTCTATGATGGTGCGTTTGGCTTGGTTTGGTGCATAGCAGTGACTCTGTTGACTGTCATCCAAGAATTCCAACATTGCTGACTGCTCAATAAAAATTAACCTAGTAGATGATAATAGAACTGTTTCATTGGAAGGCAGAAGTGGTCTATCAAACTGAAAATAAAAAATCTTTCTGTTAAAACTACTTGAAAGGGATGAGGGAGAGAACTGTTTAAAAGGGATATATGATTAGGTAGTATTGTTATGACAGGAGTCCAGAATGAAGGCAGCATAGTGCACTTGGGGGAAGGGATTGTGTAACAATGAAAGAATTTTTCTTTTACTTTTCAAAGAGAAGAGTGAATTGGGGGTGGGGTTCAGGTAGGGAGAAAAGTACAACAATGAATTAATGGAAATCCAAAGTCTCCATAAACTTTCATTAAAATTAACTTTTAAAAAGTGTTAAAGAGTAAAGAAGTCAGATTAAAAACTAAGGTGCACCCGAAACCCCCCCCCTACTTTTATATAAACATAGATCTTTTTCCAATGCTTATATATTTATATATATACAAAATGTCACCAAAGCCCATGCATCAAAATGTTACTGTTTGGAAAGGGGGAATTAAAACGATATTCATTTATACCTTATATTTGAAAGGCATACAGTTTTATAATGTTTTGTAGTTATAGCATATTTTATTTATAAAAATTTTAAAAAGACATTAAAAACCAAACCATTAAACATGAATCAGATTCAACTCAATGGCAATATATTGTTTTGGTTTTTAAATATAAAATGTGTTAAACAGATTTGTGGATTGATAATGGTACAAGGGTTAATAAGTAATTTTAGTAAATCAATAATAAAATTCTGATTGAAAAAATAGAGAAAGAACAATCACAGTGGTTAACAAATAATATTATTTACATTACAATATAAAATGTTATTAACATGAGTAATCAAAGTAAAAGTGATATCATTACCTATGAAAAATATCACACATAATTTTATTATGTAATGTTTGACATATGCAGAATAATAACAAACTCCACATTTTGGATGCTTTAGAATTATCTATCCATACACAACTGAAATATGTACACATATTCATCAAGAAACACTACAATATTTATAATTATACCATACTGTTGTTGTGGTGGTGTGGTTATGTGCCATCGATTTGGCTATGACTCATAGCAACCTATGAACAACAGCTCTGAAACTTGTCCTGTCTGGAGCCAACCTCAATGTTTCTGTCATACCTGACGCTACTGCCACAGTCATTGCCACATCTAATCCAAGGTCTGCCTCTTGTGTGTTGACCCTCCATCTTTCTAAGCATGATGTCCTTCTCAAAGGACTGGTCCCTCCTGATATTAAGCCCAAAATATGTGAGATGGCATTTCAAAACTCTTGCTTCCAAGGAGTAACCTGATTTCACCCTCTTCAGGACAGACTTGTTTGTTCTCTTGGCAGCCCAGGGTAAATTCAATACTCTTCTCTAGTACAACTCAAAGGCATCAATTCTTCTGCTATCACCTTTATTCACTGTCTAGCTCTCAGATGCATAGCAAGTAATTGAGAAGATTATAACCTGTAACAGGCACCTCTTAGTCTGTAGACTGAAATCATTGCTCTTTAGCACTCTGTAGTGGTCATTAACAACCAATTTTCCTAATGTAATTCAACTTTTGGTTTCCTGGCTGCTAGTGTCAAGGATGTTGATCGTGGATCACAGCAAGATTAAATTGTTAACCAGATCTTTTCTCTATCAAGATAATGTCTATTGGCCTGGTAGTTAGGATTTTTGTTTTCTTGATATTGAGATACAATTCATATTGAAGCCTGCAGTCTTTGATCTTGTGGAGAAAATGCCTCAAGTCCTCCTCAGTTTCAGTAAGCAAAGTTGTGTCATCTGCATACATAACACAGGTTGTTGATGGATCTTCCTCCAATTCTGATAGATTCTTCTTCATAAAGTTCAGCCTCTTGAATAATCTGCTCCATATATACATTGAAAAGGTATGGAGAAAGGATACATCCCTGGCACAATCCTTTCTTGATTTTGAACCATGCAGTATTCCCTTGCTTTGCTGAGACAACAGCTTTTATGTCTAGGTATAGGTTTCACATAAGAACAATCAAGTGTTCTGGAATTCCCATTCTCTCAGTGTTAGACACAATTTGTTGTTATATACACAGTCAATTGCCTTTGCATAGTCAATAAAAAACAAATAGACATTCTTCTGATACTGTCTGCTCACAGACAAGAATCATCTGACATCAGTAATGATATCCATAGTGCCATGGCTTCTTCTACACCTTGTTTGTATTTCTGGCAGTTCTCTGTTGATGTATTGTTCTAGTCATTGTTGGATAATCCTCAGCAAGATTTTGCTTGCATGTGATATAATATTCATGATGTTTTATGATAATTTCTGCAAATTAAATGTCCATTTATAACAGAATGGATAAAAGATACTCAATACCCTCATACAAATTAATAATATAATTTAATAATGAAAATAACTTATTCATTAATATCAGTTATCCAAGTAATATCACTTAATTATGCTTATATGAAACCTATAGGTGACCAAGTAGCCACTTATCTGAACAGAATAAAGGGAACATTGCACACTTTAAAGTGGAAAGTTATGTGTCAAGGTTGTATCTTTTTTCCATAGCTATTTAGTCTGCATTCTGAGCAAACTGAGATTAGATATATGAAGAAGAATGTGGTATCAAGATCAGAAGAAGACTTCTCAACCACTTGCATTATGCAAATGGCACATTCTTGTTTGCAGAAAATGAGGAAGACCATGCACTTACTACAGAAGATCAAAGACTACAGCCTTCAATAGGGGTTACATTTCAACATCAAGAAAAGAAAAATCTTCATCTCTGGACAAATAGGCAGCCTCAAGATAGATGGAGAAAAGATTGAAGTTGTCAGCAATTTTAATTTACATGAATCCACAATCTAAACCCATGGTTGCTGTCATCAAGAAATTAAAAAAAAAAAGTATTGAATTAGAGAACTCTGCTGTCAAGGACCTTTTTGCAAAGTGGTAAGGTGCATAGGTGTCCATTTAAAAACTAAGGTAGGCCTGATTTAAGCCATGGCATTTTCAATTACTTCCTGCGTGTCTGAAAGTTGGACAAAATAAGAACTGATGTCTTGGAATTGTGTGTTGGTGAAGAGTACTGAATATAACATGGAATGCCAAAAAAAAAAAAAAAACCAACCCAACAAACACACCACAAATCTACCTGGAAGAAAGAGCTCCTTAGAGACAGGAATGGTGAAACCTCGTCTCACTTTGGTCATATTTGCAGGAAAAACCAGACTTTGGAGAGAGACATTATGCTTGGATAGGTAGAGAGTCATTGAAAGACAGGATGACTCTCATGCAGATGAATTGACACAGTGATTATCACAATAGTCTTGAACATGACAGAGATCATGAGATGTGCAGGGCAGGGAAAGATTCAGATCTAATGCTCATAGGACCAGTATGAATCATAGTTGACTGGACATCACCTAACAAAATAGGAGACTAATAATAACATGCAACAACATGTATAAACCATACAACATGTTACTATAAGACTAGATACTGAAGAATTAACTCAGTCATGATTTAATTCAGCTTAAAAAGGTAGTAGACAACAAACAATAAAGTGAACAACAAACAAAAGGGATCTGTACACAGATAATAAAACTCTTGCTCTTTGCTGTTCAATCAATTCTGACTCTTAGTGCTGGTGGTTGTCTGTTTTGTTGTTTTTTTTCTCATATCAAAGAGTAGAACTGCCCAATTTACTCATATCAAAGAGTAGAACTGCCCATGCTTTCTCAGTTTGTAATCTTTACAGGATTAGATTGCAATGTCTTTTCTTCTGCAGAGTTTTCAGTAGCTTCAAACCACTGACTTTTCAAATGTCACCCAAGCATTTAACTATTGTGCCACCAAAGTAGTATTTTAAAACTAAAAGTCATTACTTAGGGAATACAAAGAGAATGTTAGTATACTGTGGATCTC